ACTTTATGGTAAAAGACCAAATCCTGAATGTTTTCCCTCTAAAATTGGTAAAAAGGATGTCCACTCTTACCACCCTTATTTATTTTATTTTATTTTTTAGATTTTATTTATTTATTTGCCAGAGAGAGAGAGAGAGACAGCGAGAGAGGGAATACAAACAGGGGAAGTGGGAGAGGGAGAAGCAGGCTTCCTGGAAGCCTGATGCAGGGCTTGATCGCATGACCCTGGGATCATGACCTGAGCCAAAGGCAGATGCTTAACGACTGAGCCACCCAGGAACCCCATTACCACCCTTATTTAATACAGCCCTGTAAGTTCTAGCTATTCCAATAAGGCAAGAAAATAAAGGGCACAGTTTGGAAAAAGAAGGAAATAAAACTATTTGCAAATGATATGACTGTCTACAATAATGAATCTACAAGGAAATAATTGAGTTGAATAAGGTCACAGAATACAAGATCAACATACAAAATCAGTTTAATTTCTATACATTGACAATAAGCAACAACCAAAATAAAAAGGCAATATCATTTATAAATGCTCCCCAAAAATAAAATACTTAGGTAAAAAATTAACAAAACATGTACAGGATCTATATGATAAAAATTGTAAAATGCTAATAAAAGAAATCAGAAAAAAAATACTTGAAGAAACATACTGTGTTCATGGATTGGAAGACTCAACAGAGTAAAGATGTTAAATCTCTAACTTCATCTACAGGTTTAACATAATTCCTATGAAAATATCAGCAAGTTTTTTCTGTAGACACAGACAACCTTATTTTAAAATTTACATGCATAGGGGTGCCCGGGTGGCTCAGTTGGTTAAGCATCTGCCTTCGGCTCAGGTCATGATCTCAGGGTCCTGGGATCGAGCCCCCTCTTCAGGCTCCCTGCTCAGCAGGGAGTCTGCTTCTCCCCCTCCTTCTGCCCCTCCCCCCACTCATGCTCACTCTCTCTCTCTCTCAGATAAATAAAATCTTTAAAAAATAAAAATAAATTTATATGCATAGAAAAGAGCACTAAGGATAGTCAAAAGAATTTTGAAAAATAACAAAGTAGGAAGAATCACTCTTTCCAGTATTAAGGCTTACAGTAACTAAAGTATGGTACCGGCAGAGGGTCACAAAGATCAATAGTACAAAACAGAGAAATCAAAAATGGAGCCACACAAATGTGTCCAACTGATTTCTGACAAGGATGAAAATGCAATTCAATGGATAACTTTTTAAATAAATGGTGATGGAGCAACTGGACATCCATGGGGGGAAAAAAATTAACCTTGACCTAAAGTCCCACATCTGTAAAAATGAACTCAAGATGGTCCATACACTTAAATGAAAAATGCAAAACTATAAAACTTATAGAAAAACACAGGAGAAAATCTTTAAGATGTACGACTAAGTGAAGTGTTTAGGCTTGACATCAAATTAAAAAAAAAAACCCTCACAATTCATAAGATTAAAAATGGACAAATTAGGGGCACCTGGGTAGCTAGTTGTTAAGTGTCTGCCTTCAGCTCAGGTCATGTTCCCAGGGTCCTGGGATCGAGCCCCACATTGGGCTCCCTGCTCCACAGGAGGCCTGCTCTCCCTCTCCCACTCCCCCTGCTTGTATTCCCTCTCTCGCTGTGTCTCTCTCTGTCAAATAAATAAATAAAATCTTAAAAAAAAGGACAAATTAGATGCTACATAAATTAGAAACTTTTGCTCTGCAAAAGACCTTGGTAAAAGGTTGAAAAGAAAAACTACAGACTTCAAGAAAATATTTGTTTAACTCACAAATCCACAAAGGCCTATCTAGAATACATAAAGAACTTTGAAAATTCAACATTAAAACACCAAATAATCAAATTAGAAAATGGGCAAAAACATGAACACACATGTCACTGAAGAGGATACACAGATAGCAAATAAACACATGAGAAGATATTCAACAAAATTTTCTATTAAGGAAATTCGAATTAAAACTACATTGAGGGGCGCCTGGGTGGCTCAGTTGGTTAAGCGACTGCCTTCAGCTCGGGTCATGATCCTGGAGTCCCGGGATCGAGTCCCACATCGGGCTCCCTGCTCAGCGGGGAGTCTGCCTCTCCCTCTGACCTCCTTCCCTCTCATGCTCTCTCTCTACCATTCTCTCTCTCTCTCAATAAATAAATAATCTTAAAAAAAAAAAAACCTACATTGAGATATCACTACCCACATATCAAAATGGCTAACCTGAAAAACAGATATAACACCAAATGCTGGCTAGGATTCAGTGAAACTGGATCACTCCCATATTGCTGGTAGGAACATAAAATGGTAAAACCATTGTGAAAAATAGTTTGGCAGTTCCTTTCATTACATGTTTGAGCTTTATCCCAGACTTCTTTTCTTTTTTATTATTATTATTTATTTATTTGACAGAAAGAGAGAGCACAAGCAGGCAGAGTGGCAGGCAGAGGGAGAGGGAGAAGCAGGCTCCCTGCACAGCAGGGAGCCTGACGCAGGGCTCGAACCTAGGAGCCCGGGATCATGACCTGAGCCGAAGGCAGATGCTTAACCGACTGAGCCGCCCAGGCACCCACCAGATTTATTTTCATGTACACACTTTTACATGAATATAAGGGACATGTATATGTGTGTATATATACACATATAACTCATAATTATATGAATTATATATTCATATAATATATATATTCTTACATTCAGGTACTATATACATGAGATAGAAGAGCCAACTTCAAAAGGACATACTGTAGGATTCCATTTATATAACATTCAAGAAATAACATAATTATATAGAAGAGATTAGTGGTTGCCAAGGTTAGGAACAAGGGAGAATGGGATGGGTATAGCAATAACAGGAGGGAGCCTTATGGTGACAGTACTACTATTTTGACTACTGTGGTATGATACAAGACTATGTGATAAACCTGCATAGAACTATACACACAGAAGTCTGAAAAAGTTCTATGGATTGTACCAATGTCAATTTTTCAGTATGATATTGTACTGTTGTGCCAGATGTTAACATCTGGGGAGGCTGGAGGAAGGGTACATGGGACTTCCTTGTACATTTCTTTGTAACCTCCTGTGAATCTATAATTATTTCAAAATTCAAAGTTTTTTTTTTTTTTGAAGATTTTACTTATTTGAGAGAAAGAGAGAGAGCACAGAGGGAGAGTGAGAGGGAGAAGGAGACTCCCTGCTGAGCAGAGAGCTCAATGCAGGGCTCGATCTCAGGACCCTGGGATCATGACCTGAGCTGAAGACAGACGCTTAACTGACTGAGCCACCCAGGTACCTCTTAAAATTAAAAGTTTTAAAAAAGAAACCACTACACCTATGTGAAAAGAAAGGCGTGGTCAGGCATCAAAAACTGATAGAAGAACGGGCGCCTGGGTGGCTCAGTTGGTTAAGCCACTGCCTTCGGCTCGGGTCATGATCCTGGAGTCCCGGGATCGAGTCCCGCGTCGGGCTCCCTGCTCGGCAGGGAGTCTGCTTCTCCCTCTGACCCTCTCCCCTCTCATGTGCTCTCTCTCTCTCTCATTCTTTCTCTCAAATAAATAAATAAAATCTTTAAAAAAAAAAAAACTGATAGAAGAATGGCATCTTTAAATGAAAACAAAACACTTAGAGTATATATCATTTTTCCATGATTCCTTCCATATTAGTTTCTTAGGACTGATATAACAAAGAACCACAAACTACGTGGCTTAAAACAACAGAAATATACTCTCTCACAGTTCTGCAGCACTAATACTGATTCACAGATATCATCAAAGACCACTCATCTGTAATATGGCCCTGCTCTTGGCCTCCAGAACCCTATACTTTCCTAGATGACCTCCTTCCTTCCCAGTCAACCCTCTACTATCTCTCTCTTTTTTTTTTATAGTATTTTTTTATTTCAGAGAGAGAGAGCACAAGTGAGGGGCAAAGGGAGAGGGAGAAGGAGACTCCCCGCTGAGCAGGGAGCCCAATGAGGGACTCGATCCCAGGACCCTCGGATCATGACCTGTGCCAAAGGCAGAGATGTAACTGACTGAGCCACCTAGGCGCCCAACCCTCTGCTATCTCTACTTCCTCAATGTAGTTTTCTTTAACTTTCCCAATTTCTAATCAACCTTATTTTTTCCTACTATACCATTAGAACATATGTTCTTGATCCACTACTGTAACATTTAAAAAAAGGTATTCCTATTACCTCATAAAGCAACTCGAAGGAATTTTTAAAAAAATTAATAAATACTGTTGACTGTGTCTTTTGATGAATAGACATTTTTAAGTTTGGTGTACTCCCATTTGTCTATTTTTGCTTTGTTTACCCGTACCTTGCTTGGTGTCATATCCCAGAAAACACTGCCAAACCCAATGTCATGAAACTTTTTCCCTATGTTTTCTTCTAGTTTGGGGTCTTAGATTTAGTTCTTTGATCCATTTTGAGTTAATTTTTGTATATGGCATAAGGTAAGGATCCAACTTTATTCTTTTGCATACGGATATCCAGTTTTCCCTACACCATTCGTTAAAGATAGTCCTTTCCCCCATTGAATGGTCTTGGCACCTTTATCTAAAATCATTTGGTCATATATGTGAGGGTTTATTTCCAGCCTTTTTATTCTATTCTATTTTTTAAAGATTTTATTTATTTATTTAGAGAGACAGTGCGTGCAAGTAGGGGAAGGGGGAGAGAGAGAGAATCTCAAGCAGATGCCATGCTGAGCACAGAGCCCAATGTGGGGCTCGATCTCACAACCCTGAGATCATGACCTGAGCTGAAATCAAGAGTCAGACACTTAGGCTACTAAGTCACTCAGGCGCCCCTATTCTATTCCACTGATCTATATGTCCATCTTTATGCCAGTACCACAGTCTGACTACACAGTGTTATAATTAGTTTTGAAATCAGGTTTTCCCTAATTTGTCTAAAATAACCTTACTAGCCCAACATTCTGACCAGTGGGCCTACTCCTTGAAATAGCTTCCTGCCTCCTGATCATTGCTCACTCACCTGGGCACCGTCCTCCTGTCACTTCCCTCACAACCATCCAGGGCTCCTTCCCTTGCTCTAATGAAGAGATCACAGCCGGCTTAGATATAGAAAGTCCTGGTTATAAGAAAAGAAATGGAGATGAAGTGGAAATCAAAGTACCCAAATACTATGGTTTAGAATTGATCAAAAAAAATAAACTATAGCACAAAATCGTATTTGATAAAGTCTGCAGTTGAAAAAAAGAATAAATTAAACACTAATATTCAGGTAAACTCAAGATAAAAAAACAAATAAATAGGTGATAAAATGCTATTTAAATTAGATAAGCTTTCTATCTCTACTTCGCTATGTGGAAAAAACAGCTTCTTGAGTATGCTTATTTCAGATATTTTTCAATGTTAAATAAAAAGTTCTTAGAATGTAACTCCCAAATGCAAATTGTTTAAGAGAGAGCACATTTGTTGTAGGAAATGGAATAGTGTTCATTTGAGCACTAAATAGTAAGTGATATTTCTTGATCCAGTCCATCACTACATTAATTGGGAAAGCTAAAGAGCTTCACACCCAGGCCCCATGTGTTTAGTTTTAACCTACTCTAGTGCACCTGCAGGTTTAGCACAGTGCAAATGAAACAAAAGATGAAGTGGTTTCTTTGACCATTAACTAACAATTAATTTATTAACATTAAATAATTAAATAATTAAGCATAAGCTTTAATGGCACAGAATTCCAATTCTGTTCTTTAATCACCAAGGAAGAACATTGATTATAAGGACCAGAGGAAGGGTTAAGGATGGGGAAAATGAAGATGCACCCCCATCTAAGCGTGCACATTTTTATGCAAAGAAAAAATTCATCTAGTTATTTGAAAGGTAGCCCTAAAATTCACGGTAAAGAAAGGAGAAATTCCAAGAAATAGATTCTAAATTATAAGAGGCAGATAACTTTACCCAGTGAAACCAAGTTGCTATAGTTCTCCAACATCACATCTTTGTACAAATTCCTCTGTGTAGGGTTCAGGCATTCCCATTCCTCCTGAGAGACATCTATAGCCACATCTTTGAACATCACCATCCCCTAAAATGACAAATAACAGTACTATTTTTTGAAATTATAAGAAATATTTTTCAAAAGGAAGAAGAGATGCTAAACGAAAGCATGCAGGAAAGAGACAGTAATACACACACACACACACACACACACACACACACACACACATATAGTGTGAGTGAGTATATAGGCAAAGGTGGAAGCTTGTGACATGGGTCAAAAAGAAATTTAATGGAAATGAAGCAGAGTGCTTCCATGTTCTCAAAAATTCAATTTTTGCAGACACATCCTCTTGCATAGGATGGAAAATCAGTCATCTAGAAATTTAAAAAAAATAAGTAGAGGTTTCCAACTAAGTTAAATAGTTGGAATTTTTTTAATCTTTCCAGAATGTCTTATGAAAACCTCCAACTTGAGAAAAAGGACTTGAAGATTTTTCTTCATCATTATGACCATTATGTCATAACCATTTTTACTTTTCATGCAAATTCTTTAGTAAATATCCAGTGCAGATTGTATTTTCCAAGGATAGATAAAACAACTCCCATCCCATACGCTCTTCTTCAGTGTAACCTTGACATGCCATTGACCATGACCACGCCATGACCATTGGTATAAGGTCTGTGTCCTCTGCCCTTGAACCTGATCCTGGGAAAACAGCTGTGACTTACTCAACTTATAAAGTATAGCAGAAGTGACTATGTGACTTCTGAAGCTGGATTATAAAAATGTCTCTCCACCCAGTGAGAACACCCTACACCAATTCCCATAATGTCTATTTGGAAAAGTCAAAATTGTGGAAAAGTTCAAAGATTTCCCATGTGTGATTCAATTAACCATTTTCCCCTGACAACACCATTTCCTATGAGGACATCTCAACTGGGTGGCTGGTTTTTCTCCTACAGTCTTACTCTGTCCTCAGTCTCACTCTGTCCTCTCTTCTCCTCATTGCCGGTGCCAGCAACTGTCCCTCCTTCTCTAAAATCTAATGTCATCATTTCATCAAACTATACATGCATTATTTCTACCTATTGCAGTGATGTGCTAACATGCAGATTTTGCCCCCTCAGGAATTTTCGCTCCTGGCTCAGTGCCACCATCTCCAATACTACTCCTATCTTAATTCTCAGTGATTTCAAATATCTATCTAAGTATTCCATCTATCATCCTGGCTTCCCAATTCCCTCACCTCCTCTCCAATGAGCTTGTCTTCCACTCTAGTTCACTCTTTGTAGCACTATCCCAGACATCATCATTAATAGTAACTTCATCGTCTCCAAAATATCAACTGTCTTTCTCTCTGGACACCTTTACATTGTCACTCACCACACTCATACCTCTTCTCCCCCCCCCCTTTTTTAAAAGATTTTATTTATTTATTTGAGAGAGAGAGAAACAGTGAGAGAGGGAACACAAGCAGGGGGAGAGGGAGAGGGAGAGGGAGAGGCAGGCTTCCTGCGGAGCAGGGAGCCCGATGTGGGGCTTGATCCCAGGACGCTGGGATCATGACCTGCGCCAAAGGCAGACGCTCAACGACTGAGCCACCCAGGCGCCCCTTCTCTTCTCCCCTTTTCACCCAACTGAAAGTCTATATTCAGCTAATCATCCAACTTCATAATGAGCCTGATGTGAACTTCCTTTTCATACTTGCTAATAAGCAAAGCCTGAATCCTAGATAAATCTCTCTCTCTTCCTACTCTATCACTGTATCTATGTAACTGAATATGATTAGAGAAAATCACCAACCTTAATGACGAGTTTTTATTTTTATATTTTGTTTCCCTTTCTTAAATAAACATTCAGATGTCTTACGCCCACCTTGTCCTTTCCATTTTGTCTCCCACCTCATAACCCCTTACAGATGAGCAATTTCCTAAGTTTCTTTGATATCTTTGCAATGTTTTTAAGCAAATACAAATATATATATATATTATTTTCTATACTTTTACACAGAAGGTAACATACTATAATATATACACTGTTCTGTACTTGATTTTTAAATTCTAAAGTTAATGGTTTCCTTATTTTTCTATAGGTACATATACTCCATTTTTTGTATTTATCATAGTTTATTTAACCAAACATCTCTAGATGGACACTTGGTTGTTTCCAATCTTCTGCTCTAACAAACAATAGTGCAATTAATATTCCTGTAAATATGTCATTTTGTATACATACAGGTGTATCTGTACCAGAGAGTCTCAGAAATCAGATTGCTTGGTCAAAGGGAAAATGCACTTGTAATTCTGGTAGATGCTGTCAAGTTTCCCACTACAGCAGCTGGACCATTCTGTCAGACACCAGCAATATATGAGAGTACCCATTTCCTCACAGCCAAGGCAGCAAAGTATTTTGTCAAAACATTTTGTTTTTATCAATTTAATATGATAAAGAAATTATATGTCAATAGAATTTTAAATAGTATTTCTTGAATTATGAGTTGAGTATTTTTCTTTTTGGGGGTCTTTTATGTTTCTTTTTCTGTGAAATTTCTGTTCATGTCCTCTGACTCTTTTCCTACTGGGCCATTGGTCTCTTTTTCAAATTTCTTAGTCTTTACAAATTAGATGATAAGTTCAGTGCCTATATATGAATTGTAAATACTTTCCCCATTTTGTAATTTCTCTTCTGACTTTTCTTACCAGTGTTTCTTGCCATGCAGAAGTTTTTTATTTTTATGTAATCAAATTTGTTAATACTTTCTCTTTTAGTTCCTAAAATTCTGAATCCTAGTTAGAAAGTCCTTCCGAACATCAAAGTTATGAAGGAATAGTCTCATGTTTTAGTCTAGTAATATTATGATTGCATTTTTAAAAATTAAATCATTCAATTTAATTGGAGTTTATCCTATATGGTAGATGAAATACAGATTGGGCTTTATTTTCCAAAATGGCTACCTAGACTATCTTTAACCAAGAAGGTAAAAGAATTGTATACTGAAAACTGTAAGATGCTGATGAAAGAAAGACAGAAGTAAATGAAAAGATATCCCATGCTTAAGGAATGGAATAATTAACATTGGTAAAATGCCCATACTACTCAAAGCAATCTACAGATTCAATGTAATCCTTCGACTCCCAATGGAATTTTTCACAGAAATACAACAAATAATCCTAAAATTTCTATGAAACCATCAAAGACCTCAAATACCAAAGCAATCTTGAGAAAAAGGAACAAAGCTGGAGACATCACATGTCCTCATTTCAAACCACATTACAAAGCTATAGTAATCAAAACAGTATGGTACTGGCATAAAAACAGACAGATAGATCAGTGAAACAGAACAGGAAACCCACACATATACGGTCAATTAATTTATGACAAAGGAGCCAAGAATATACAATGGGGAAAGGACAGTCTCTTCAATAAATGAGGTTGGGAACAGTGGACAGCCACATGAAAAAGAATTAGACTGTATCGCTATCTTACACCATACATAAAAATCAACTCAAAATGGATTTAAGACTTGAATATAAAACCTGAAAGTATAAAACTTCTAGAGGAAATCATAGGTGGTAAAGGTACTTGGCAATGACTTTTTGGATTTGATACCAAAACAGCAAAGGCAATAACAGCAAAAATAAATGGGACTACATCAAACTAAAAATCTTCTGCACAGCAAAGGAAATCATCAACAAAATGAAAAGGCAACCTACATGGAGAAAATTTTTGTAAATCATGTATCTGATAAGGGTTTAATAATCAAAACATAAAGAACTCATAAAACTCAATAGCAGAAAACCCCAAATAATCTGAATTAAAAATGGGCAGAGGATCTGAGTAGACATTTCTCCAAAAAAGACATAAAAATGGCCAACAGGTACATGAAAACATGTTCAAAATCACTGATCATCAGGGAAATGCAAATCAAAACCCTAATGAGACATTGCCTCACACTCAGAATGGCTATTATCAGAAACACAAGACATAGCAAGTGTTGGCAAGGATGTGGAGAAAGGGGAACCCTTGTGTACTATTGGTGAGAAATGTTAATGGGTGAACCTACTACAGAAACCAATATGAAGATTCCTCAAAAAAATTAAAAATAGAACTATCATATGATCCAGGAATTCCATTTCTGGGTATTTACCCAAAAGAAATGAAAATATCTACTTGGAAAGCTATTGGGACCTCCATGTTCACTGCAGCATCATTTATAATGGGCAACATGTAGGAAAAAATCCCAGTGTCCTCCAATGGATGAATAGATACAGAAAATGTGATATACACACACACATACACAAGAATATTATTCAGCCATTAAAAAAAAAGGAGGGGCACCTGGGTGGCTCAGTCGGTTAAGTGTCCGACTCTTGATCCCAGCTCAGGTCTTGATCTCAGGGTCCTAAGTTCAAGCCCGGTGTTGGGCTCCACACTTGGCGTAGAATCTACTTTAAAAAAAAGGGGGGGAGACACTTGGGTGGCTCAGTTAGTTAAGCACCTGACTTCAGCTCAGGTCATGATCTCAGGATCCTGGGATTAAGCCCTCCACTCAGCAGGGAGTCTGCTTCTCCCTCTCCCTCTGCCCCGCCCCTTGCTTGTGCTCTCTAATAAATAAAAATAAAATCTTAAAAAAAAAAAAAAGGAAATCCTACCGTTTCCAACAACTTGGATGGTCCCTGATGGCACTATAATAGGTGAAATAAGTCAGACAGAGAAAAACAAATGCCAGTTATATGTGAAATCTAAAAACAGAAAACAAAAATCAAACTCATAGATGCAGAGAACAGACTGGTGGTTGTCAGAGATGGGGGCGTGAAATGGATGAAGCTGGTCAAAAGTTATAAACTTCCAATTATAAAATTAATAAGCTCTGAAGATATCATGAACAGCATGGTGACTATAGCTATTAATATTGTATATTTGAGGGCGCCTGGGTGGCTCAGTTGGTTAAGCGACTGCCTTCGGCTCAGGTCATGATCCTGGAGTCCCAGGATCGAGTCCCGCATCGGGCTCCCTGCTGCTCAGCAGGGAGTCTGCTTCTCCCTCTGACCCTCCCCCCTTTCATGTGCTCTCTCTCTCTCTCTCTCATTCTCGCTCTCTCAAAT